AAAAATGCTTAGTTAGTAAGTTGTATTTTTGCAAACATTAGTGTTTTTGTAAGAGTTTGCAATATACACAATCATGACACTTCATTGCAAATTGAATCGTTCAACCTCAAAACGGCTCAGGATAGATAAATAATGTTCACATATCATTCTAAACATATGTACACTTTATTAACTCGACGAATTGAAAATGGAATTAGTTCGAACATTTCTTAACGAAATTTCAAGGGACGAATTTCTAAATGAGCTGAAATTTTGTTGGTGCAATTAACTCGACGAATTGAATCCAATGATAAGTAACTCGAATGAAGCAAACACTAAGCAACACCAGAATTAGACCCAATAGAAAACAATCAAAACACTTTTGGACGAAAAATTGAGTGGCAATGGAATTTTGATTGAGCTAATGCGCTCCTAGGCGGACTTGGACGAAAAAAGGTTTGTGTAGGTTTTCACAGGCATTTCAAGTATTTGACCAAGAAATACTTGAAGAAGCATAACATGAGGAATTGGCTTCGGCCGATTGCAGCAAAAGAACGCAACGTTTATGAACTCCGCTACTTCAACATTGCCGAACAAGAGCGAGAGGAAGAAGACTAAACTTTAGAGCATTTTTTTTTTTTCATGTTCTTCTTCCACTTCAGTTTATCTCCATTTTGTCAGGAATACGTTTTTAGGATTTGTTTACGAGATTGCAATTTTTGTGTAATGTGATGTTTTTGTGTTGCCTTTTTGTGTTATAACTACTTCAGTCTTCAATGGCAATAGGTACTGGATTTTATCTTTCAATGCATATTCTCTTCAAAGGTGCCTGTTATTTCGAAATGATTTGTAAGGTTCAAAATGTTTTTAATTACTAGTTGAATTTGAGTATATAGTGATTCATACCTAGTTTTATTACCTTCTTTTGCTCAATCATTTAATCAGGTTGTATATGAAATCATTATTGGTGATAACAGTAAAAAACATAACTGAATTATTTAGATTTTAAATAAGATAGAGCATTATAATATGTGAATTGATTAACTTGGCTCAAATCACTAGTGGTGAGAGCAATAATAAACATACGAAAACTTAGGGGCGCTTGTTTTATTTTTTATTTTTAAAAAAAAAAATAATTTCTTCTGAAATTTAACTCAACTTTAATTCACCTCCACAATTAAATAATACTAATCCATAACAAGTATTGAAAAATGTTAATGGCTAATTGAAACTATAATTCAGATGTAAACCAAATCAATTGTCTACCAAGTAATTACACTAAAAGTTCACAATGGTAGAAATTGTACACCAGGAAGTAAAAACAATTCAATCAAGTTTGATTCGGAAATCCAGAGGGAAATTACCCCCAAAAAA